CAGGGCCCCCCCAGCGCTCCAGGCTCAGCCAGATGAGCGTGCAGACACCCCCCCCTGCCCCGCAGAGCTCAAAAGACTTAAACCTGGAAAGCAAAGTCATGGAAAGGTATTTCCCCTCCCTGGTTTGTACCTCACTGCTCCTCACCACGGAGGGGCGTGGGACAGCCCCCCCCAGTTAACGCAGCCTGTGGCCCCATCGCTCGCTGGCCTCTTAGAAGGGAGAGCAGAAAAAGAGCAACTTCAGCAAATAAGTTTTAAAACACAACGCAAAGGCCATCCCCGTGCCGGCAGCACACAGGCAGCTACAGGCACGGGGGCCAAAAGGCTTTTCATAAACTTGTCCGGTGCTTAGCTCCCCCATCCGAAAACCAAGTGGGTGCACAGGGGCTCATGCACTGGTACAGCTCATGCACGCTGCCGCCAGAGCGGGGTGCACCCCGACACCCCTGCCTGCCAGAGCAGGGTGCACCCCAGCATCGCTCCCCGCCGCAGCAGGATTTACCCCGGGCACTGCAGCTCCCCCCTGCCCCCGGCTCCCCCCATTTTGCTGCCGCACAGCCCCCGCCGCACAGCCCCCGCCCTGCGTCCAGCATCCCTCGCAGAGGGTGACGCATCCGCAGAACGCTTGGGTGCAACACAAACCCGCTCCAGGCAGGGTCTATGCCCACCCCTCCGCTCCCCTCTCCGCAGGTTTGTGAAGTGGATCGAGGACGGCATTCCAGAAGACCCCTTCCTCAACCCGGAGCTGATGAAAAACAACCCCTGGGTGGAGAAAGGCAAATGTACCATCCTCTGAGGGGTCGGCCCCCCACCCCCGTCGGCACCCCCCGCCCCTCGCTCCCCCACGCTGAATGTACTTTTTTATTAGCTAGCTTCCTAATATGACTACCTGAACAAAAACCCTTCCCTCATCTTGTCTTATTATTTTTAGTAGTAGAAGTGTTTCTTTTTTATACGGGGGGGACAGGGAAAACACAGGGGTGGGCAGTGCGTGGGGACGCGAGCAGCAAAGGTTTCTGCTGGGTTAGGCTGCAGTTTCCAGCCGCAGACCTCCGCTCCCCCCTGCCACCGCCG